CCACCACCCCCTCCAACCCGTTTTGTAAAATGGTGACAGTCATTCTCAGTCAAGTATAAGGAGGATTGCAGAAAAAAGGTGTAGCACCTTTTTGCTAACGATGACATCAAGTGGTTGAAATACCGTTTTGTCGCGTAGTCTGCGTGTTGCCTTTTATCTGTGTTGCCAGATCTGCTGTAAAGTAGTGAAGGTACTGAAAAAAAAATAATGCATTCGTTCATTCTTGTAATCGCCTGGCTGCTTGATATTTATGCTTTGAATTCAGTCAGTTTGGACAATGGATTTAGATCTGCACTGACATTATGCGGCAGTGTTAGTGTTGCAAACACTGCAGGGAAATGTTCAATCTAGCACCTGTTTTTGTGGTGAAAACTCACAAAGAAAAATATATTGTTTGGTCTCATCAGAAATGTAGTGAGGTGGTTTTCGGCTGGGCAAGGTTGCCTCAATAATGAGGTGATTGGACCAATTTCTTGGGGTGCTTAAGATGTTACTGGTTTTGTAATGTGTCTCTCATTTAGAATGTGATGGAGAGGAGAGACCATCTTTGAGCCAGCTATGTGTAGTGTTATAGAAAGGAAAATTATAGCAGTGGGTTGAAGCTAACAGACTTTTGAAGAGACAGCATCATGGAATTAATTCTAATTAATTACAAAAATGTTGCTAAGAAAAAAACCCACTACACATTGCATGCTGAGCCTTTGAGATGGATTTAATTTTTCTGTGTCTGGGTACCTTCCTCTCCCCTGGCTTCGTGGTTGGGGTTTTGTTGTTGTTTTGGAGGGTAGACGATATTAAAATGAGCTAAAAAGCTTTCTGAAATGGACCTTGGAACGAGAAGTTAAGGGTAGTCTTTCAAATTGTCGATCCCTGTCTTGCAGATGTTTATGCTTTGAAACTTTAGCTGTATTTGATGTCCTGTAGAAACCAGTGGGACTACTTCTGCTTAAAACTGAAATGTATGCATAAATGTTGAATATGAGCCTTGAATGCTCGTTATCCCAGCTCTGCTTGACGTATTTGCAAGCTGACAGTATCCTGTTAACTGCATCTGGCAGCCTACACTCACTACTCAGTTTTAAGTCCCTGGTTTTTGTTGTGGTTGTTTTTTTGCTGCTTTATTACTTCCAATGTTCAGTTATATTTATACTTTTGTATTAAAGTGTTAATTTCTGCTTCAGGTATGACCTGTGTATTGCTGTGGGAAAAACTCATAAACATTGCTGTCTTCAAGCTTTGCAAAATGGGATTTCTCTTCCTGAGGTTTGCAGCCAATGCGTGCATCATCCTGACGGAACTGCTGCATGGAGCTAGCTACCTGGGATTGCTTTTTGCTAGAGAGTGTTACTTTTGAGGTCACGGTCCCTTGGAGATACGAAGAGTAAAAATTCGTAAAGTAGTAATAGCAAAAGGGCGAAGTTCATGGCATTAGAATGCTGTCAGTTTGGACTGAAATCCTGGGTTTACTGCTGATTCACTTTACATTCTTGGGCAGATCATTTCCCTTCTTCAGTTTTCCACCTTTTCGTAATTACATATTTTTCTCCATGGTAGTGACTATCCATTGTTTAGAATTAGGGACTCTGACTTGGGATGATAGTTTGATGCCATCTCTAGGGGTGTTTAAGTAATTTTGATATAAATACTTACAGGAAGGGTGGCATTAGGTGACAGGAATTTCTAACTGTAGTATTAATAATGATGCTGTTGAGCAATGAAATGTTATAAAATATGGGGTAGTTTTTTTGTTTGATGATACTTAGCACAGTGTTAAATCTCTTACAGTTTAAAACGAAAAAAAAATTCTCTGGTTCGTAAATTTATAGTCACAACATAACTGTATGTTTATAGTGAGAACAAATATAAAAATACAGCAATAGAAAGCAAAATTAAATTATTTATTGCTGGGAGTTGTTCTTGTTAGATATTCAAAACCAGACTTGATTATAAGTTCTTAAAAGCATGCTTGCAGCCAGAGTTGCTGCTTTGATGAGTGTGAGGCCTGTGCAGCCAGAAACAGCAGTGATGCGTCAGGGACCCACTGTGTTATAGAAGTAATGTCTGAAGCTCCTTCTATTAAAAAAAAAAAAAAAGCCAAACAAAACCACCTGGGTTTGATACATGTATGTGCATATATGTGTATAGGCCTTTAATGCTTGAACAATGTTTCATGGACTTAATGAGACACTGTTCTTGTATTTTAATGGTTGTAGGCTATTACCAGCATTGCAAGACTATGTTAACTTAAACTTAAATAGCCTTAGTACTAAGATTTTAGGACAGTCTTCTTTAAAATAGAAAGTCATTGATGATTTACATGATCTGTTGTAAGCTACATCTTTGCTCCAGATCTAGACATCTGGGAAATTAATGAATGATTTGTGATACAAAATTTTGTTTTTGTTTTCGGTTATGTCTAACCAAGCTAGCTATATTAGCTGCCCATTGGTGATCATATTTACATTAGCCAGCATTTCTTTAAGCAAGAAAGAGCAATTGAGAGGGATTAGTGAACTAAGAATCTGAAGATAAAGGAAACTTCAGTTAGGTCCTGTGTAGTTGGTTCCTAAATGGGGTAAGTGGTGGGATGCAATACATTAGCTGTGCAGCATGGTTGCCCGATTACTTGCAAATAAACCCTGGTCTTTCTGTAAAGCAGCCTTTTGCTAGGATCTAGGAGTGTTGAGAGTCCCCTTTTTCTGGTAGTGTTGTGGAAAAGAAACAGAAAGGTGTAGTCTTCTGAGTTGCTGAACAGAGGCTAAAAGTACGTAAACCCAAGCTTTACATTTAGAAGGGAAGGCAGCCTTTTGCCAAAGGTAAAGTAGCATGTCGATAGAGAGCACTCCTGACTATGTTTGCATAATACTCATGATCATTACAGACACTTTCTGTGTTTATTCTCTTTCTGAAGATTTGCTTTCTACAAAGCTTAGCCAAAAATTAATTTGTCATCCATTTCCTCTTCTATATGGTTGGTTGAAAGTAACAATGTTATTTTCTTGCTTAAAGTATTCACTCAATTGTGTTTGAATAAGGGGAGGTGGCGGAGGGGCTGGGGTCAGGAAGGGGAATCTTGTCATGGAATTATGGCTAGAGTGAGCATCTGTATAGCATAGAAAGCTGCTGTATGTGCTGTATTCTGCTAATATTGAAGACTTCTAGGTGTTATCTGTTGAAGATCTGAGTGGCTTTCTCTACTTGTATTAATAGTTTCCTGTAACCTGATGAGTTGCATAAATCATCATGAAGTCACACATGTTGGAACATTTTAAAAAGAACACCTTGGATGATTAATCCTATGTATTTGTTTATTTGTTCTTGCTTTTAGCACATCAAGTGTAATTTAAGGCAAATTGTCTTAGTCAAGATTTTTTTAGTGGCTATGTGTACATACTTACAGAACCCCTCACAAGTAAAAAAAAAAAAAAAATTAATAGCTTCATGAGCAGTGATGCTTGGGAAGCGTGGGTTTTTTTATATAAACATGTCCTTTGTTCTTCCTGCCCTTCCCCCATGTCTCCTACACAATAATCCTCTCCCTCCTCATGTATCTTGTGATACCCTTACTAGATAGGACACATGCTTTGGCAAGTCTGGCATCTCTTGCATATTGGACAGCTGGCTGCTGCCAAACAGGGTATTTAATAAATGAGTTATATTTGTTGGGGACACTGATTTGAGTTTCACACAATTTGTCAGAATCTGGTTAATCTTTAAGAATTCTTTGTTTTCAGTTTGCCTGGAGTCTGGCCATAGTGTAAAAATTATGTGGAAGAATGGGAAGAGCAAAACATTGGTATTGCTTTTTAAATTGGGGTGTAAATGAATCGGTTTTCTAAGTAGTTTATGATATCCCTTGCCTGACGGTAGTATGGTCATTATGATATGAAGGGATTTTGGCTTATTAGAGTTCTGTAGAGAATAACGAGTCCATTGGAAGCTAGACTTCGTTGGTTCTGAGAAGTAATTGAAATCACTGTTGACTTCTGCTGTACTTAACAGTGACTGGTATGGATACGCCTTGTACATCTTATTTTACTGTTAAGATGTTCTTTTATTGGACAGTTGTATATTGCCACCTTTATCTTTAATACAACAGAGATATAATACAACAAATTCAGATAGCCATTTGGGCAACACTGCTTCTAGTTCCTTTCACAGCTTTAAGAGTAAGCATGGGGCTTAAAAACTTGTAGGCAAAGGCTGTAAAATTGATGTATAAATGGGTGGTGACAGAGGAGTGGTGGGCTAGGTAATCCAGGGAAGGTGTGTGAATAAATGACAAAAGGGAAAATAACTGTGGCAGGGACATAAAGGTAGGAAACCAATATGAAACGCAAATAGTAAAAACATTAATGACAGGTGGGGATCAGGAATACTGGATTTTATGATGTGCTAAGGTTTAGAGGGGCATTAGGAGATGGCAGCTATTTAAAAGTAATTAGGCGTGGTGAAAGTACCCTTCTCAGTAGCTGGTTTCTTTTGGTTTTTTCAGTGCAGTATGGAGGACAATACAAAACCTGTTT